TGATGATGGCTGTAATCGCTCACACTGTGCCATTGTTACTCAGCTCGCTCACCTGCGGGAGAGACTCCGCGACTAACTCTGAGGTAGCGCCACTTCGCTTTTGCTTTATCCAGGTTAGGTTTACAGGGACAACCAACATTAAAGGAACACTGCAGCGTTTTTAGCCTAATCTGCTGTGTGTGTAGCGTACAGATGAACATAAAATGCACTGACTTGAAACTCGTGTTTAATAGAAGCCAGTAGGCAGTTGCCAAATAGTGTGCGCTGCCAGAATAAAGAGCACTATACAGGTACACTTTTGTTCATAGAGGTACAAACAATCCAAATTTAGGCTTAAAGGTATAACATGGTCCTTAAGATCCAATTGTAAACTTTAAATGTGCACAATATTCACTTTCCCAGAGGAAAGAGGCATACTTGTACCTTTTCCTAAGCTAATGCTGTAAAATAGAAAAATAAAGCATGGTGTGTAGAGTCAGTCAATGTAAATATCTGCAGATTTTAGAGCATAATGCCATGTTATGTTTTTCACCAGTATGCAAAATTCAGCAAATAAATAGTAATTGTGCATTGAAATGTGCAGAAATTTGTTCTCTGTAGAGGATGCATTAACTTACTTTAACTTAGAAAATCAATAAAACATGACCTGGGGCACCCAAACTTTTGCATAGCACTGAGTGTATTAATATTTCATACACAAAGGCAATTCAAAGTGTGTTACATGACTAAAAAAAGCAAAATAAAAGCAATATTAAAGACATAAGAAAGACATAAAAGACACAAATTAAATATAGAAGTAATTCAAAAGAAGTGCAAAGTTTAGACAGTGAGAGTGTTCAAGTGTTCACATGCATGAGAAAAAGAAATGTCTTTAAGTCTGGTTTGTAGTAATTTCTGAGATCTTCTGGCAGCTGATTCCAGCCGTTTTCGCCTCACAATACTTGGTTCTAATTCTGGGCACTGCAAGCTGACCAGACCCCAGTGATCTGAGAGGACTATTGGGTTTATTTTTTGAGGCATGACAAGTATCAACACTTTCAGTTCAATTCTCTAACTAGCTAACTAACAGGCCAGTGCTTACCATGAACAGTAATTTCAGCACAGAACATAAAATCCACTGACTTGAAACTCACTTTTAATAGAAGCCAATGGGCAGATGTGAAAGCTAAGCATTTCTGCAAATGGGCCAGTTCAACCACGAAATGCAAGAATACAAGATAGCATATAAAACAGAGCAGAATGCAAGGCTGAAACTCTGGTGTAGTCTGCCGAGAGAGAAAGAAAAAAAACCTGGAAGGAGAAACGGAGGCAGCCAGAGAGAGTAATGCAATACGGATGTTTCTAGCTCAGGCAGTAGGACGAGAGGGGAAAGCGGGGTTTGTAGATTGAAATAATCATTTACTTTTTGACGTACTGCAGCTCTCCTCTGAAAAGTCAGCGGCAAAAGCCCTTCCTCTGGCCAACAGGAAGAATCGGGCAGTCCAGGCTGATTGCTTAATGACAGACGTCAGCGAACAAAGGAGCCTCTGATAGCTCAGCCCAAATGAAAAGCTTTCTATGGGCCTGCGTAGACTGAAAGAGAGGAGAAAAAAACTCTCTCTCTCTCGCTCTTTGGGTTCGTTTAGGAGAGAAGGTGAATTTCAGGTGTTTATTTTATAGTTTGTCCAGCACCTCTCGAGTTCCTGTGATTTTTTTTTCCTGCTCTTTCTATTCAGACGAGGACCTTCAGACAGTTAAATGAGGGAGATGAGGGGAAAATGTGACGAATTAAACAGAAAGACAAATTGTTTGCATAGGAAGTAATTATGTATGGATGGTAAAGGAGGATCTCTGTACAGTCTACAGTAGGAACATCTGGAGCGAGTTAGTGGTGATTGTAGGTTTTGTAAAGGCTGCTGAGGGAAGAGTTGGGGGGACCACGCAGAAGAACGCAGTAGAACGGCACACATTCGCTCTCGGTCAGATTCTTAGTGCTATTTTTAATTCGTAGATGATATTTATGGCCCCGTTCAAGACAACTGCTTGGGTAAGGCACCTCCAGCAAGCCGTCCTTCAGTATCCAGATACAGCAGCCTGCTGAAGCACTTAAAGCTGGCCCATCCCTAGTCATTAGGCTTAACTGTGTTTACGAGTGCTTAAGAAGGAGGCCTAATGAGTCTCGTGCATTACTGTAAGACACCGGCTCCATTAGAGTCGCTCTGCAGCTACCAGAGTGGCAGTCAAGTGGTTTATGAGCACTCCTGCTGTGTGCTGTAATTGTTCAGAGCTTGCTGCATTCTTTTTCTGCTCTGACCTTCATCCCGGAGGTCTGGCGGTCCACAATGCAACTGTTAATTGCGTGTTGTAATAAGCGCTGAATTAAAAGGCCATGTAATCATACAGCAACTTAGACAAAGCTGGGGAAGAAAGGATAAAAATGCTAACGAGTGTGAGCCAGCTGGGCCTGTATCAAGGACACAGTCATGTGTGCTGTAACTATGTTTTCAATATATCGGCGTTGGTGATATTGAGTTTGACATTCTGTACATGGCATGAATGATAAATGATACAGTACGTTGTCTTTGTTGCAAGAAAGGAACGTAGTATTCTGCAAAATTGTGGACTCCATTAATATCACAATGCAGCCATTTAGGTCTGAAATACATGGACTGTCCTGTAATTTGCAAAGGACTAAACCAGCTATGGATATACTGTATTCCTTAAAGAATAAGAGCTATTTCTTGGGAAAGAAGACATCTGCAGATAGAGTTCAGGGGAAAAGAACTGGCACTTTGTCGCATTACTTATAAACAAATCTTAACAAATTTTATTAGGTAAGACCTTAAGCTTGGCCTCATTGTGGTGAGCCAGTTCATTGCTTCAAATTGCCCAACTAAATTAAGGATTTCTCAGATACCTCAAGGCTGCCTGAAATCTTAATGCGTCCAGAAAATGAATTAACTTGTGGTTGGTATATTTTCACCAATCAGCAACTGTCTGAAATTGGTGAAGGTACAAAGCTAAATCAAAACCAGGCAAAGATATTCAGTTGTCATAAAATATCGGCACAATTTCAATACTGGTACAAACTTTGAGATATTTACCAATGTGGTGAGATCACTACATTTTCAGTAAAGTAAAATCTTGAGGTCTTATATGAGACCTGAATTTTGAGTTGAAAGTCATGTTCATAGACCCATATCAGCAGCAGAGGTTCTGATGCCTTCTTTAAGTTAACCACTCTATCATGTTGTCTTGATGCTATACTCTTTGGCACTATAATGATTATCTCTTTGCAAAAGAGTGAAAGAGCCAAGGTTAAACGTTTTGGGGGAGGCCTGTTTTTTCTGTAATGATTTTGCCCTGTCCAAAGGTCCTCTGCCAAAGACAAATTGGTACTTCACAAGTATTAAGGGTCCATCGCTGACTGTCTAGAAACAGATTACACAAACAGCTTGAGGAGTTCCAACTGGCAGTCCATCTTCTGGCCCCGCAAGGCTCAGCTCTCCATGTGCGGTCACCCAACCCCTCCTTCCACTGCCCCCTCCCTCCACCTCCCACCCCCTTATCTGAGTGTGTGGAGCCCTAGAGAGGAGGAGCAGGCCACCGGGTCAAAGTCTTTTCCTCTTTGGATCTTGAGGCTTGCTGGGAGAGGGTTGGCGAGAGAATGCCTGCATTAGAGCAGGGGTTGGGGGTCAAGATTTTAATTCTGTTAAAGAACAGCTGGTTTGAGTTTCTCCTCACGTCGCTCTCTCCTCCCTCTCCCCACAAATCCAGGGAGATGAAAAATTTGTTCAGAGGGGAACCAGTAAAATAAAAAAGGTTTACGGTCTAAAGCCCCTTACCCTTACCCTGCCGTAGCATTAGACAGGAATGCAATAACGTCAGCATTTGGCCGGTTCAGATTGAATTAAAACAAGGAAGTCCTTTTTTGTGTTTTTTGGTGTCTTAGCAGCCACTCAGAACTTAATTAAAAAGCTTAAGGAAACGATAAAGGAAATTTTACACCACAAGCAAAAAAAAATCTGTGAACCTCCGGCAAAACAGCACTAACGATTAACTGCTGAACTGTTAACCAAGTTCATCTGATTACTAACACAGATTGTTTAGCTAATTGCTTGGAATTTGATGCGGAGAAAACACACAAAAACCCTTTTCCCGGGTTCAATTTACTTTCACATCACTCTTCCACTTACATATTCCGGCACAGCAATTTTCTTATGCAGCTGATCCCACCTCTCTTTCCATTTGAAATCTCAGGCAGGACTCCCTAGCATTCATGCCTCTTTCAAGGGGAAAGTGGTGGGGGGGCTGGGATGCCTATAAATGGAAAACTAATAACAGATTTTCAGTCTGCTCTCCAGAAAGCCTGGGGCTGTGCTGGTGTGTGGCTCAGCAGCAATCAGAGGTCATAATTTCATTGGCGGTTAGCATCAGGTTCAATTTTTCTAGTATGTTACATTTAGCAGAAAGTCTGGTTTGTGTTACTGTGTACACTGTCTGAATCAGCTCGGAGCTGAGGAATGGCTCGGACTCTCCAAGAAAGCAGAGGCCCGGAGGGAGCACAGATGCGCTCATTATCCCAAAGCTATCTGTTTGGTCAGGCACTGGCCTGCAGACGGGCACACTTCACACTGACACACTAACATTGCTAACATCAACCCACGCTCATCCCGTCCCAGCTGATTTTAGGTAGCAGTGCATGAATATATCTAGAGATCCCCCTAGTGGTTGTGACGACGTGGGCTGGCCCCCGGTCCCCTGATGATGGTGTTTATTTTTATTAAGATTGAGCAGGTGGGGGCTCAAGCCTGGAAGTGGTTGAGGGGGCTGATTTCAGCTTTCCAGCGCAAAGCTTAGGCTTCAAATGGGAATTCCACAGTTGTTGACATTACTCACTTCATGGATTCAAGCTGCCAAATCGCACCCAATTTTGCACATGAAAACCATTAATCAAATCACTGTAGCCTGATTCAGCCTGGCTCAACATGTCCATCCTCTGTTTTCCTTTCTCTCCGCAGGAGTGCGATCAGGTCCACATCGACGACGTGTCCTCTGATGACAACGGTCAGGATCTGAGGTAAAGCTGGCATGGGTTTGGAGATTGTTTTTCGTTTTTGGTGCTGGCAGTGCACCGGGCCTAAGAGTACTCACATGTGTTGCTCTTTATCATCCTGCATCCAGCACGTATAACTTCAGTACAGATGGGTTCCACGCTGCTGCCACCAGTGCCAACCTCTGCCTGGCCACGGGGGTGAGAGGAGGAGTGGACTGGATGAGAAAACTGGCCTTCCGCTACAGACGAGTAAAAGAAATTTACACCACCTACAAAAACAACGTCGGAGGTAATTCGCCCCCAATAAACTGCTTTGGTCAAATTGCTCAGTAGGGGGGAAGGGGAGAGGGTGCGTCAACAAACACATGCCGAGGTTTTTCAAACAGCCCTATGCAGAACTACTTGGTCAGGCTAAATTTTGAAAATTCTGAAGTTATTTGCAGAATGGGCCAACTCAAACAAGGTTTCTGTTCATTGCAGGACTGCTCGGCCCAGCCAAAAGGGAAGCCTGGTTGCAATTGAGAGCAGAAATTGAAGCTTTGACGGACTCCTGGTTAACACTGGCACTGAAAGCACTAACATTAATCCACTCAAGGTAAGCCTTCGCACAGGAAAATTATATAGGAGTCCTGTCCTGTGTATACATAAATCGGCTCAAAAGAGAAAGAACAGTGCTATGCTCTATACTTTAAAACTTTGAACTCAAGAATTCAATCTTGTACCAAACTCTCAGTGTATGTGTCTTCATTTAAAGAAACAACATATTAGCCTGTAAGCAGTGTTAGCATTATATCATTTGCAAGCAATTAAACTTGATGAGATTCACCAGGGGATTTCCCGAGACCAAGCGTCAACATTAGAAACTCGTAACATCCCTGATTTTCTTTTCTTTCTTTAATTCCAGGTCGAATTGTGTGAACATCTTGGTGACCACAACACAGCTCATACCTGCCCTCGCCAAGGTCCTGCTCTATGGACTGGGAGTAGTCTTTCCTATAGAAAATATTTATAGCGCCACAAAAATAGGTAAATGTGCTTCTACCTGTGAGCGTGCATGTACTTACGCTGGAGAGAGTTTCCTGATGTCGTGTGGCTGAAATGAGTGTGATATTATGTGTAAACACATGGCTCATGATTGGGTTAGGCTGCAGAAGGGGCGGACACACGAGAGGGTTGATGTTCGGTTCTAAGGAAGAGGTCTAATCAGGCTGGGATTATTTTCTTGGAGCTCGGCCTGAACTGGGCCTCTCTTTTTCAGCCCTGCATATGAAACCACTTCGGCAAATTTATGTCATTCCACATGGACATTCCCCCCCCTCTCTTCCCTGCCTCCCCTTTTTCAAATGCAAAATAAACACCAACCTTCACTTTTGGGCCATCGTCAAGCAGATCAGCGGGGCTAGTGCCGAGATCTTCTGGTTGCAGGCTGCATGCCTCTCTAACTCTAGCATTAGCATGTGAGGCTGATTTAGCTCGTTAAACTCCATTTGTCCCAGGTTTGGGGAGGAGAAAGACACACTTAATGCTTTTCAGACTGCTTTTATCTGGGCATTGATCTTATCGAATCCCCTAGCTAAGGCTAAGTGTTTACACTGTGTAATTTTGTGTAACTTATTGCGTATTTAGAGAGCTCTCACAAAGGCTGGCTCCCTTGCATTTCACAGCACTAAAACCTGTTTCTATTCTCTGCAGGCAAAGAGAGCTGCTTCGAGAGAGTAATTCAGAGGTTTGGGAGAAAAGTTGTTTACGTGGTGGTGGGGGATGGAGTAGAAGAGGAGCAGAGCTCCAAAAAGGTAAGAGCTTATAATTATTATTAGTTTTTTTGTTGTTGACCTTGGTCTTCACCTCGCTCTTTTCACTTTCATCGGTTTATCCCTGACGAAAGCCCATTGGCCAAACAACAAAACGGCCGTCACCATTGAATCAGCACTTTTCTCCTGACAGCTCATGTGTAAAGGGGGCAAGATGGCATAATTATACATTGCTGCCCTGAGCCTAAGCGGCATGAATGCGTGTAACGCTAGACAAGTCCTTTCAGGCATGTTCAAGGGACCGGCCCTAAACAGAGCGCGCATTTAAGAAGCTTAAATCTTTGTTTGATGAATTCGGGATATTTTCTGCAGCGACAAGCAACCATGGGGGATGAAGAACAGGGGAACTCAGCTGGCAAAGCCTTTTGATGTGTTGTCGAACATGGCGGAGTAGCTGTGTCGAAGCACCTGAGTGTTGTATTTGCTCTCGTCTCTGCTGTTCAAAGGAGGAGATTTATGTTACCTGCTGACTGTTGACAAGGCCTTTGTGTCCAGAATGTCTGCCAAGTTTTCATGTAAAACCCAACGCTCTGACCATAAACCACAAAAGGATGGAGATATTCATTAGCTAATTAATTACCGCAGAGAACAAACATGTTCCCTTGACAGGTAAGAAACCTTGGAGCAGAATAAAGAATTGCAAAGTTGGGTGTTGACACAGTTCTTTATTATACAGTGCCAAGTATTCAGTTCCAAACTGTCAATTAATCATGCAAGGAATGTGCACAGAGGAAGTTAACAGAGGGTAAAGCACCTCCACAGTTTTGCATGTCAGTCTCTATTCAGCAGCGTTTGGATCTCATAAGCCTGTGGCAGAACAAGAGAGGGTAGAAGAGAGACAGATACTTTCTCCAGCTCTGGCCTGATATAAAATGAAATGGAAGAATACTGTAGGAGATGGATGTCAGAGGTGACATGGCGGATCTAGCGAAGCAAATGTCAAACCTTTTTTTTTTCGTTGTTGCTTTTCATCCCCGAATGAATCCCCAAAACAAATTCCCCTCCAGTTAATAACTCGGCCGAGGCGAAAAGAGATAAGATCTCCTGGCTTTTAAACTTAAAAGCAAAGACAATTTACAAAACAAAAAGAAAAGAGTCCTTTAAGGGTCAGTGCAAGCTTCTCTAAGCGGAACATATGCCTGAGAGAAGCTATACCTTTGATAAGGCTCGGTAATGGCCTCTGTGTGGAGGGACTGAGGAGTCCGAGCTGACAAGCTTCTTTCATTCTCGCAGACTCATATTTCCCCCGGCCTCTCTCAGGGAACAAAGCCTCATTTGCGGTGTTGTGTCCAGGGCGCTTTGGGCAGAGGTGCCGTACAATGCATTCATAGCTATTTCCCAGCAGGGCTTTTAAAAGCGCTATTGAGAGCATTAAGAATATTCAGATTGCGCTTTTCTTTTTTATTCATTAAAGAATGAATTACAGCTCCATGAGGACATGCAATTTGCAAATGAGGGTGGCTAGGATAACAGGAGAACTGAATTTGTCCTGGACTTTGGATGTAGCTTGGCTGCTAGGAGGAAATATATCGCTGTTGTTGGAACAAAACCTTGTATCTCCAAAATGGTAACTTTACAGGAGAAGGAAAAAAACCTTATTAACTTTTAATGTAAGTCAATGGAACCAGGCTTTCAAAGTTATTTTGGGCCGTTTCTTTGGGTCCATTCATGATGACATTTACACACAATGTAAAGTGCAACAGGCATTTTCGAATTATGTCAAAAACTGAAAAATGACATAAGTGGAAATACGAGGTTTTGTCCCAACAGCAGTGATATTTAAAAGGTTTACAAGCACCTGAATTTCTGGTGCATCTCTGGATCTACAAATATAGTCAGTAACATACAGAAATTCCACCAATGTTGCATGACAGTGTTCTTAATTCTTGATTTCAGAAAGCTTTTTTGCTCTTGATCGTTTTTTGAGGTAAAACATTTTAAGGAATCACATTTTGTCTGTGTGATTTCTTTTTTAATGTAAATTCCACCTTCTTCTGGACTGTTTCTCACAGTACGATTTTATACTAAATGCTCTACTTATGTGTTGCTTGAAATAGTTCAGGGACACTTAACTTCTTAAAATGTTTTTCAAATAATACTTACCATATTTTGTTTGTCAATTTGTGTTAATTTACCACCTTAAATAGAACACTATTTAGATCTTGCCATTTTTTCTTTGCAAAAACTGAAGGAACACCTACCAAAGGTACTAGCTTGGGGATGAAGATGGTGTAGGGAAGGTCTATACAGCAAAAATATAACTTCACAATCCTTAAAGACATTTTCACAATACTCAATATGTGTCATTATATTTGTGCATGGTGCCACATTTTAAACAAATACTAAAAACTAAAAGTACAATGATTTCTATTTAATGTTTCGGGACTATTTATGCTTTCTTAGCAAGAAATATGCATTTAGAGCTTTGCTAATACAGTATTAGCAAAATCCACAGTATACTCAGAAAAGCATATTGTGATGTGTAAAATTTATCACAATAATGATAAATATCATCATATTGCCCGCTTCTAAAATGGAAGTTTTTCAGTGTTTCCCATTTTTCTCTCTCTTCTCAGCACAATATGCCCTTCTGGAGGATCTCCAGTCATTCGGACCTCATGGCCCTGCACCATGCGCTGGACCTGGAGTACTTGTAGCACTGAGACAGCCTGTCCACACGGCCCTGTCCGCCCGTCTCCAGCCCTGTAGCCCTGTTTCACGCTCCAAAGCACCACCGAAATATCATCAATGCATCACTGGGTCAGCCGAGTGTCCACCATAAAAGCAAAAAGAAGATTAATCCGTATGTTCAGAGAGTGAAATCTGCGTGACCTGGTCAGCGCATTGATGTCGACCCACGATTCGTCTTAACTCTAAAGCTTGTTCTCAAAGTCGGAGGAGAGTGAATTTATGAGGCTGCAGCTGCTGGCCATGGTTACTGTGAATGAGCTTCTTTTCTAAAGCCGTCAAAATGTTTTACGGCCCGGCCCGCGCGAGGGTTCACACCTGTGAGGAAACCAGAGCTACTGGAGCTTTTGGAACTTCGCAAGGCTCCGACCCCACTGAGATTCAGCCTAATCCCCCCCCTACTCCTCGCCTTTATTCTGTCTCCTTTTCTCTCCACATATCTCTATCCAATGGTACAGAGACAGCGGGGCAGCTCGGTCAGCCCTGGGTTAAAAAAGAAAACAAAAAAAAAACACAAAAACCACTGAGCTGGACATCCTACGCTTCTTTATTTATAATCTGAGACTTTGTTTGAGGGCACTGTCAGACTCGTGCCTTTTTTCCCGCCTTGCAAAGTACTTTGATTCCAAGAAGAAGTTTATGGAGAAGAAAAAAAGAAGAAAAAAAAAGGATTTTCTAATAATTTAAGGAAAAATTAAGAAACTTTATTTGCATTTGCTCAGACAATCGTGTACAGAATACATCTTTTTTTTGTGTGTAAATTTTTAATCACTGGACTTATTCCTCCTTTACTCTGTTGCTTTTAGGTACAGCTCATCTTCAGAGGAGGCGGTTTTATTTTACACAAAAAAGGAGAAAGAAAAGTTGTGCAAGCTCTAAAAGTGTTGATGCGTTAATGGTTTCTTTGGGTAGAGAAGTGTAGATAAGGGATTTCTGTGATAATTTGTTTTGTCATGACCAAAAGCGTGGATGTCAAGTGTCAATGATTTCATTATTTTTTTTTTTCCTTTTTCTCCCTCGTACACTTGCTACTTAAAGTCGGTGAAACCCTAGTTAATTTCTTGGTAGCAAATTTTACTTTTTCGGTCAAGATTTCATGAGCCCCAAAAGGTAGCTCCCGTCTCAGAACGCTTGTAGTTATAATGTCAGTGAGCTTTACACACAATATAATACATGCTGGGTAATAATCAAACGAATGTTAAGCTTCAGTCTGAGTGTAAATGTCCACACCACTGTCTCTGCCTGGACGTTTAACTTCGCTTAACCTCCACAACCAGGCAGCGAGATTTAAGGTTTTATTATCTTTTGTACTGGCACTAAGACAGAAACTCTTGTACATTAAGTGTAATTTTGTATGAAGTAGTCTTTTTATTTTGATTTTGAAATGTGTTCAGTGTCCACTTTGAAAGGAAATCGCTGTAGTTGGAAAAACAATCATTGTGCTAATTCATAGTGCTTTAGGAATATCTGTGGAGTGGGAAACTCAAGCTGTTGGACTGTAAGAAAGCCACTACACACGCATACATATACATAAACACATATACATATTAAGGCACACACATAGAATAAACTACAGGCCAAACGTTGGGAAGCAACAGTAACTTGGTAAAAATAAATGTGAGAAGTTTATATGTATATAACAATTGGAATTATATGTAAGCAGCAGTGGTGGACAAAGTACACAAATCCGGAACCTGAGTGAAAGTAGAGAAATATTCCTTGAGTAAAAGTATAAGTGCCCTGTTTACAATGCAAAAAAATATGTCTTGGCATCTTAAATCTAGTTGATATATCTAATATTTCTCATTTGGAGTTTGTTGAAAGCTTACTATAAGATTATTTAACTCAAGTTATCTCACTGTATTGGCAGCTAATTTTGCTATTTTCAAGCATATTTCTTACAATAAGCAAAATTATCTGCCAGAATAGTGAGATAATTTGACTCGAGAATCATTAAAAAGTAAAAAATGTCTAGACGCAAGTTAAATAAACTTAAAATAAGTTAACTATAACTGTTTCAAAATTAAAACTATTAGATATATTGACTAGATTACATTTGTTGCAGTGTATATTTTTGACTTAAAGTGTAAAGGTGAGATAATCTATCAAGCCAACAGTTCTGCTCTTGTATCTTCAGTGTGTAAATGGGTGAAATTTCACTAGAATATCAAATATTTTAAAATACCACACACAACATTTCAGCCTTTTCTTCACATCTGAAGGCTTATCAGAATGCTGGTTACAGTAAGCTATAATTGGCCACTAGGTATTCAGGGTAGGGGTTTAGTGAAGAGTGTGCTATGATTGGTTAGATTTGTTTGTGAAAGTGTGTCACCATCTTTCAATTTAATTAAAAATCTAGTTTCCACTTCACAGAATCTTGAAGAAAGTGGTGAGTAAAATGTAGAATATTTTACTGTAAAATGTGGAATGATAATAAAAGTCTCAAAAAATGGAAATACTTAAGTACTACTGGTAGACAGAATATTCTGCGCTGCAAAAAATAGCTTGGCAAGTGAAATCATCTTAAGCTGTAGTTTAAGTATGTAATATTTCTCATTATACGACTATTGTAAGACTATTGTAACTTATTTCTAGACAATTTTTATTGTTTAAAGTAATTTTATCTAGTGAAAGTGTCATTTTATTTTCATAAATAATGCAGATAATGCTGATCTGCCTATGGAGTAAGACACATTCAACAGATAAAATTACTTAAAACAAATAGAAAAAAATATGTAGAAGTTATAATGTTACATTTTCAACTAAAAGCGGGAAAAGATGCAAAATTTTAAAATGAAAACAATGAAAAAGTGTCATTGTTTTACATTTTAAACATTGCTGCTTGCTTCCATACTTTTGACCTGTAGTGTACACTAACAAACACACATGCATAAACAAACAAACACGTTAAGGGGTTGAGAACATACATGTGCTCTTGACTGTGAATTTTCTCAGCAGGACTTTTAATCTGTTTGTAATTCCGGACTGGCGCAAGGTCCGGTGTTGCTGTTCCTGCAGGTGAAGTGTGTGTTCTGCGTCTTCTCTCTCCCCTAAACACACACACGCACACACACACACACACTCCGGGGAAACTCATATTGCTGCTAGTTTTGGTCACAGTAGACATGAGAAATGTTTTATACAGCAAGCTTTTTTTTTTAATAAATAAATGTTGCAATCATAATGCAAACTGGAAATAATTTACAAGACGTGGGCCTCATTGTGAACACACACAGTTTGTTGTGTCTGCAAAAAAAGATATGTACAGATGTTTTTGACATTATTATTTGATTGTGTTTAAATTAATAAAACATTGATTTGTGAACTGTTACACATACATGTTCCTCTGTGGAGAGACTGAAACGATACAGCAACTTCTTCTTCTTCCTCATTATTTCTTTTTCTTCTTTAGATAAAAGATTGTTGTCACTACGAGCTGCCTCACTGTTCCCTCATAGCATCTGTTTCTCAATGGTGTCATGTTCATAATTGGACGCATGGCCACAAGAGCCACAGGGGTGAGTGGGCATTTCACCCACCACTTTTCAAAGTACAGGGGTGATGCCCCACCAATTTTTGATTTGGTTCAGGCTGCTTACATAAAAAAAACTCCACTATCTCTAAACTGTACAGCCTGCTGGCCTACTAACAGACCTATAACATGAATAGAAAGTCAAACTCAACAGCAGAACCAATCAAAATCTCTCTTTCAGCTAGAGGGCGGGGCATTGAACAATAAAACCTTTGTGAGTTTGTGTTCGGTAAGAGGAGCTGCAGTTCAACAACACCTTCATTTAGCAAAAAGGTTTTTACTGTGACACACAAACTAATGCATTTGGTCAGTTTGTTAACCCACTATGTGAATTTACTATATGTCACTATCAATATTTCTGGCTGCCATCTGTGCTGAACCAGCGAGCAAGCAGGGTCAAAATATGAGCTGTTTTCATACTCATAATCCGGGGCATTTTTAATATACCTTTATTCCGGTAATGTTCAGGTTTGCATTCACACATGCAGTCCTGAAATGGTATTTTATCAGGATTCATATGTTCATACATGCTATGAAAGTCTGGTAAGCAGGAGTTCTCAGCATGAAAAGCCAACTGCTCCTTTATGTCTGAACCATGTACACAATATAGTGTCCACTCTCATATAACCTAAAAACTCAACCTTAAAAACACAAAAGTTCTGCTTTGTTGTTGTGCTGCATTGCTTTTGCGTAGAATCAGCCATGTATGCAGGCATTGTTAATTTGTACTGCTTCTCATGCACGATGATAATTCACTCGCCAAACTAAATTAAAAAAAAACTAAAAACCAAAGGCATCACAGAAACAATCAGAAGTCTTTGCATTTCATGGTATTCTGTTCACACATGAGCCCTAACAGTCATTTCCCAGGTACTGTACTCGGTCTCATGCAGGTTAATTGTTGTGTCAACTTTACCTGGATTTTGACCCTGGATTGTCTTCACACTGAAACCTTTCCTGTTTAGCTGCCACTAAATTCCTAGGCAAAAGTGCATGTGTGAAAAGGACTCACTGCACTTTTTTTCAGCAGTACATTTAGCCCCACCACTTTTGACACCCCTGATTGTGAACAGTAGATCAATAGGAACCAGGGATCCCCCCAGTTAAAAAAAGACAAAAACCTTCCCCCCTTCGAAAACACTGTCCCTCTTGGACTTCATAAGACTCTATTATCGACATTTTCATTCCATCCATTATGTGAGATTCTTTATGATCAGGACACAGCATGCAAATTTACAGAAGTGGTGGTTATATAGAATCATATGCTTTAACTTTTCGTTGGTTTTGCTGTTGAGTGTTGGGTACAGCAAGTGCGAGACCTGCTGCAGTGTTGCTCAGATTACAGTGATGAGTGTTAACATTGTGCCTGATATTGTAAATGTTGCTGGTAATTGCTGTGGAGAGTTTTTTAATGTACTGATTAAAGAACTAGTTGGTTGAAAGGCACTAATGAAGATGGCTGCATTAAAAAGCTGAGCATTTTGCCAGAAACCACAAAATACTGAAAGACCGCAATGCTAACTGACCAAAGCAGAGCTAATAAAGGGGTTTGATTCTAAATCTGCGATCAAAACATTTCCAGTCATTTTTCATCAGCTTTCTAATCACCTTAGTGTCCTCTTTAGGAACTTACAGTAATGGTGTACAGTGTACTGTTCATTTATGACTGGGGGGAATGAAAATGAGACAGTGTTAGCTAATAACACTAGCATTAGCCTCCTAATTAGCTAATATTACCGTAGCAAACTTTTTAAACAGTGATAATTCCATAAATAACAATCAAGATGAGCATTTTACACTGTACCTTTACATTGTAGCGATTGGTAATCGAGTAGCGAGCAATTTAACTGGTTATATTCAACTCAAATAAACACCTTGAATAAAACAATGCAAAGCAAAATTTACTTTATGATGAGCAGTATTTTACATCAATGACATAGGTTAGATAAATCAGGTGCCAAATCCTTTTGCAGTGCT